GGATCCCTTTCAGTTCGATCCACAGAAGACGCAATCTGCTCTGCCCTCCGCCCACCTGGAACAGAAGGACTCTTATGTGAGAATGTTGTTCATTGATTTCAGTTCAGCATTAAATAACAACATGGCACAACAACTCATCTATAAAATGGACAACCTGGGGTCAGCACTTCCCTCTGCAACTACATATTAGACTTCCTCACTCAGAGGCCCCAAGCAGTACGTGTTGGCAACTTCACCACTGTTAACACAGGAGCCCCCCAAGGCTGTGCGCTCAGTTCTCTGCTCTTCACCCTGCTGACACATGACTGCACAGGAACCCACAGCTCCACTCACACAGTGAAGCTTGTGGACGAGAGCGATGAAAGTAACTACAGGATGGAAGTCAGTATGGGGGAATTATCCTGCCATAATGCAAGAGCGCATAATTTCAATTTGAGAAAAGAATTTCATCTTCTTGCACTCAAAACTTATAATGCTCACACTCCAAACATGCGCTCTCTCTCAAATATTTTCTCTTCTCTCTCAAATCTTTGTTTCTTCTCTCAGATTTAATGCTTCTTGCACAGATATTTTCTCCTCTCGCTTGCCTCCTTCTCTTCGCGCACAAACCGCGCTCTGCTCGAGTCTCAGATACGCTCGCAAACCCGTAGGCTCTGCTTGTGGATTTTTTTTGCTCTCTCTCAGATTGGATCGGATCGTCGCCTAGAAACCTTTCCAGCCAATAGAACGACAGCCTCAGAAAGGGTGCGCTTGTTTAACCCTACTGACTGTGCCTGTGATAAACCTTACCGACAATAAAATGGCCTTTTAATTTAAAAGCTATTAAAATAAGAAGCTGAAAAACAACAACAATCAGGAAAATAAAAAAAAGGAAATAATAAAGGGCGATTCAAGAATCACCAATGAAAAGTCACTTAATTTCTGCTGGAGGCAGAATTAGCATCTGCCCTGACTAGCAAAGTTTTTTTTATTTTTTTTTCTTCTGACGAGCAACTCTGAGGTGGAAGTTTTCTGTTCACATCACGTCACGCCTGAAAATGGATAGCTTTTAAAATAAAAAGCCATTTTATTGTCGGTAAGGTTTATCACAGGCACACTCAGTAAAGTTAAACAAGCGCACCCTTTCCGAGGCTGTCGTTCTATTGGCTAGAAAGGTTGCTAGGCGACGATCCGCTCCAATCTGAGAGAGAGCAAAAAAAATCCGCAAGCAGAGCCTCTGGGTTTGCAAGCGTATCTGAGACTCGAGCAGAGCGCGGTTTGTGCGCGAAGAGAAGGAGGCAAGCGAGAGGAGAAAATATCTGTGCAAGAAGCATTAAATCTGAGAGAAGAAACAAAGATTTGAGAGAGAAGAGAAAATATTTGAGAGAGAGCGCATGTTTTGAGTGTGAGCATTATAAGTTTTGAGTGCAAGAAGATGAAATTCTTTTCTCAAATTGAAATTATGCGCTCTGGCATTATGGCAGGATGATTCTCCCATAGGTCAGCCTTCTGACCAGGCGTTGCAGCGACAAAACAGGTCCCACTGAAAAAACAATCAGTTAATTATATTTTCCACATTAAAGATTTCTACAGGTTATTTACATTTATGGAAGACAATTTCTGCCATGATAGAAAAAATAAAAGCACACCAGAAGTCAAAATTTCAACTTTTGAAGTCAAAATTATGAGATTTATGTTACACATCTAAAAAAATATGTCAATATATATAGAAATATTTAAATTTTATAATTGATTTTTTTTATTTGCTTCTTATGTCTTAATGAAGGTCATTGAATAAGTGGAGCGGCACCTTAGCGCCCTCTATTGACCAGGCGCCACTGCTAAACACTTAAAATAAGAACTTAGATGTTTTAATTTTATTTTATCATCTACTCTGCTGGAAATTCTGACTCGCCTGCTCAAATCGAGGGGAAATACTCTTTTTAAAGTAAATCTACATTTCAATTTTTGCAGTGATGATGAAAACTAATATTTTCGTGGAAAACATTTTTTTATGTGTTTAAGCAGAAGCACAGCATGAAGGGACGCCAAAGGGACAAACTAATTCCATGTATGTCTCCATCATCTGTCTTTACCCAGAAAAGTCCAGCATTTTCCAGTCATTTGCAGAGGTGGAAAGAGTACTAAAAAATTGTAATTGAGTAAAAGTATCTTTTACTTTGCCTGAATTTTACTCAGAGTAAAAGTAAAATTACCAATCTCAAAATTTACTGAAGTAAAAGTACAAAATTACTTCATTTAAAATGTAATTTAAGTAAAAGTTACTTAGTTACTTTGAGTTATTTAATGTTAAAAAGGATGAGTCATGAATCGAATTGAGCACAAGGTGTTTTAATCGATTTCAGTGAACATCCACACTATCAAAAGATCAGCTGGGCTAAAGAACATACTTCCTCACAGCACAAGGACAGTCACAACCTGAACAATAAAGTGCAAACAATTTTCAATTCTACTGTCCAACAGACAACACCATGATAGGAATAAAGAAATTTAAACTACATTTTAAAGTTTTCAAAATGCACACAAAATTAAATGCCCAAAAGATGCCAGAAATCAGACTAAAATGCAACAGGATGCCACTGTTATTAACAAGCTCCTCATTTAATTATTTTAACTGACGCTTGTTTTACTTTGTGATTTTTTTTTACCTGTCACTTATTCTTACATCGATTGTTTATATGTTTGAATTGTGTTAATAAAGTGCTGTTAAAAGTCAAAAGTCTTCTTCTATTTTTTAATGGCGATTAAGTGTCGGTTCCGTGACACACGGGTTTAAATTTCTGGCCATATTTAATTTTTTTATCATCAGTATTTTTTTTTTTTTTTTATATGAGGGGGTTTTAAATGTAGCAAAGTAAAACTACTTAGGTTCAAATTTACTTGAGTAAAAGTAAAAATTACATATTTCAAAAACTACTCAGAAAATTACAAATTACTCATAAAAAGTACTCAATGACAGAAACTTGAGTAAATGTAATTGGTTACTTTCCACCCCTGGTCATTTGTTTGTTTCTGTCTCCTCCAGGGGGAGGAGGAAACATGGAAGACGTCCCTGTGGAGGAGGTGCAGAGTCCTCCTCTGTCATTCAGATCTTCATCAATCCTTTTTAAATCCATCCTGGCCTCCTGCTGATTCTGCTCCGTCAGCCGAAATAGGCTCCACCAACAGCCCACCCCTGCAGGGAAACCCCTTTACATTCATCTGTGTGTTTCTGCTGTACAGAAGCCTGGCTGGACGTCTGACCTGGAGACAAACTGAATCCAAAATCACATTAACTGCTTAGCTTTTAACGGATTCTTTCTGCTCAGGTTGTCAGCCGGTTTCAATTAACTTGTTATGTGGAGTCAGCTGGATAACAATGGAGAGATTACACTTATGATTACTGCAGGATTAAAACAGAGGAAGCCCCTTCCTGCTTAACTCCTTCCCCCCTTAGTCGCTCCTTGTGCTCCTCTGGAGCAGCAAAACTAAAGATTTAAGTTTTTTTGTTAAAAACTGCCAGAAAAGAGACTCAGTTCAAAACCTGATGGTCAATGGAAAGAAGAGGTTTAGGTTGGATGGTTGGGGCGGAGTTGGATGTTTCTGCAGCAGGTTCCCAAGGAGAGAAATAGACTGAGAGAGAAAAGCAGGACTTTATGTAAAGGAAGGTGGGCTGATATATAATGGAGAGTTTCAGAAGGTCTTTATGCTGAAAGCTGCGTCCCAGAAGAGGAGAACCAAACCCCAACAAGTCGGTGTTTTTTATGGGAAACTTTTCATAATGGCTTCTCCTCCATCTCATGTCTTCCTGTTCAACAAGATCTAAACTTAGCAGAAGTTCCACCACATTTCTTGGAGGATTTAAGGAACACAGAGTCTGAGGAAATTGAATGTTCAATTTATTCTAATTATTCTACAGCAATCCCTCACCCCAAGCATGCATGCAGCAACAGTGGAGAGGAAAAACTCCCTTTGAACAGGAGGAAACCTCCAGCAGAACCAGGCTCAGTATAAGCGGCCATCTGCTGAGGCCCACTGGGGTTCAAGGAGACAAAAGGAACATCGAAGCACTGATCTATAAATGCTTTCTATGTTAGAAAAGCTAACAGTAAAGTAGCTCCACAGGTGGCTCTGTCTGGGAGGGAAATCGTTAACTACATGAGCTCTGAGCCAGTTTTTATGTCAAAGGATGATTATGTCAAAAGCTGAGCCCATAGCTATGTCTACAGAGAAACAAGACAAAACACTCAAAATTAGGCCAGACTCTATCGACTATATGTTGATGGCAGCAGCACAGTGAGTCACAGCCAAACAGGAGAATAGGAGGATGGGAGAATAATACTGAAGCAGAATGATGAAATAGGGGTCCCTATGTCCTCCAGCAGTCTAAGCCTATAGCAGCAGAACTATAGAGATAGCTCAGGATAACCTGAGCCACTCTAACTAGAAGCTTTATCAAAAAGGAAAGTTTTAAGCCTAGCCTTAAAAGTAGACAGGGTGTCTGCCTCACGGACTAAAACTGGTAGTTGGTTCCACAGGAGAGGAGCCTGAGAACTAACAGATCTGCCTCTCATTCTACTTTTAGAAATTCTAGGAACCACTAGTAAACCTGCAGATTGAGAGCGAAGTGCTCTGTTAGGAACATAAGGAACAATCAGATCTCTGATATCAGATGGAGCTTGGCCATTTAAGGCTTTATATGTGAGAAGGAGGATTTTAAATTCTATTCTGGATTTAACAGGAAGCCAATGAAGAGAAGCCAGGATAGGAGAGATATGATCTCTGCTTTTACTCAAAGATATTTTACTGATAAAGAATGAAGATGACATTCAATCAGATCTGTTTCTATGAAATAAACTAGGAGAATGCAATCTTCTGAAGAGGAACAAGCAATTGTCGCTGGTGCAGCATACAGCATGTTTTAGGTAGATTCACCAGATCGATGCTGTTAAACAAATGCAAAATAAAAGGTTGATACCAGAAGGAAGGATCTGGGCAGGAAAGAACATCTCATGTTTCTCATTCATCACTTTATTTGCAGATGAAAGAGGCAGTCAGTACTGGATGAATTTCTAATCCAATGTAAGAAAAAAAAAAAGAGCAAAACAAAAATCGATTTGAACAAAATTTGCTGTTAAAACAAAACAACTACAGTTCCAAGCTTTGTAATCTTGTTTTAAACTTCGACTAAATTGCACCTCTGAAGGTACCTGGTTGCACTGGATTTTATTAAGCGTAGCAGAATAAAGAGGGATGATATAAATACGCACACTTTACACAACATTCACTGTAAAAACTTTTGATTGCAACCGTTTCCCTCTGATTTACATAACAGAACGGAATGGAGTTTTTGGCTGAAAGTTAATAAATGGATGCTTTTTATAACCAGCCTAACCTTCATTGGTATAAAAATCCTCCTTACATTTGCAGCTTTTGGACATGCAGGATCCTTTTCTCCTTCTTTGCACACAAAACTCTTCAGACAGAGCATTAAATCACAGAAATAAACCTTCATTTTCTTATTCTGCTGCTTATTGTTTGGAGCTGCAGCCACAAACCAGCTGACGGACTGCAGAGCAGCAGCTCCTGTGTTTGTTCAAGATAAGAAAGCAGCAGATAATCAAATCAGACCTCATCAATAAACTGTGAAGATAAGAGTCAGGAGAGAACGGCTCTCCTCTGGAAATACCTCCAGATAACAGAGGCTGAGAAAGACCATCGGCTTCAGTGGATCTTCCCAGATTAAAACCTGCTTCCCTTAAATCAAACTCTACGCAACAGCAACATAAATAAAGCATTAGTTAAACACATTAAGGTTATATTTAAAGACAAAGTGTCACATCAGATCAGTTTGTGCAAGTTTTTAACAAGAACCACAAGTATTTTCTTTCACAAAGAGAAAACAAAGAGATAAAAACTAAATCTTATGTACAGTTTCCTTTAAATTCCCATTTCATTCGTTTTGGGATAAACTAAGGAAACACTTTAAAGGCTGACATCATCACATCATCATCATCTGATCAGTCCTTCAGCTTCATCTGTTCAGCGAGTTCAGGAGAGAAAATTCTGGCTGCAGATGAAAGCAGCACCTCTGCAGAGGAATAAAGAGCTTCCCGTTTCCCTGGAGTCTGTTTTAGGGGCAGTTCAGAGAACGAGGAGGACAGGAAGGAGCAGCAGATACAGGAAACAGCTGAGAGGATCCGTCCTGACAGCCGACGAATGATACCAAATCACCTCCTCGTCCGAGTCATCTGGGGACAAAATAAGAAACCATAAAGATTGATATCCAAAACTTTCTTTTTAACATTTTAATAATGATTTTTTTTTTATCTTGAGCCATAATCTTGTTCCCCCTTCTGCTGTCGGGGTGCTTGACTCTGTCCAAACATTCATTAACTTATCTCTCAGCGGCTCCTTCAGGTCTTAGTGCTACATGTTTATCAGGACGAGAAGAGCCTTTTCTCTCCACTCGTCTGAAACATGTTTATTTTTGGCATGAAGTGAAGTGAACTGATGTCCCGCTCACTGATGGATTAGCTACCTCGGATCATTCCACATTTTAGCATCCCACACAGAGGATCCATCAATTTGGTTTAGTTCTTTTTTTTTTCAGCCATAAAATAAAACACTGAGGGCATTCGTTAAACCTCCCAATCGTAATATGATAAACAAACACTTTCCGATTTTAAACATATGTTTTGGCAATTCAGTGCAATAATCAAGGAATTTGTTTAATTTTATATAATAAAAGGAATTTGTAAATAAAGCCTCCTGTTATTACACAGCAGCAGTAATAATCCAGCAGATTATTGCAATCACTGCGAGGCCCGTTAATCTGGTTATCAAGGCAGGGAAACACCTAATTCTGCAGGACAGTTGGTCCATAGGAGCAGCTTTGAAAACTAATATTAGGAAGCAGATTATTTATTCTATAAAGCAATTTAATTTAAGAAATTTGAAAATGTATTAAGTAGGGATGCAGGATATATTGGGCCCCCTATCGGTATCGGCCTTAAAACTAAATATTGGACATCGGCCACCCCACCGATATTTAACCCGATATTTGATCAGATTCTGAGTTTCTAAAGTCTAAAAAAAACAACAAAATACTACTTCTTCTTCTTCCTCAAAAACTTCTTTTTTACAGACTTAAAAACTTCTAAAGACGAGGGAAAAAATATCGATACATTAAAATATCCCAATATCTTCATATGCTGATATATTGCCATTTAAAAACACCATATCAATCTCTTTTACTAATGAAATATTGCTATATGTCATCGTTATGCTACGAAATCCCCCGAAAATTCACCAAATGTTGTCATATTTTTATATGTTGATATATTGACGCGGTTTCGATCTATTTTACTAACAAAATCTCACAAGAATTTGCAAAATATCACGAGAGTTTGTAACAGAACGATGAAATTTCACCAGATTTTGAAAGTAAAATAGATCGATACCGCGTTTTTAAAAATCTATTTGATATCAGCATATGAAAATATATTTGAGTATATTATTTTTCAAAGTGTCAGAAATGGATAACAAAACTGCTATTTTCAATGACTACTTATTTTTGTCCAGCTTTAACATCGGTATCGATATCGGTTATCGGCTACATGAGTTTTAAAATATCGGCATATCGGATATCGGCCAAAATCCCAATATCGTGCATCCCTAGTATTAATTATTACTAATTTGAATTAGTCTGTTTTTTTATGGTATTTTAAAAAGTTAAAAACATTTCAGGATGTTACCAATGATGCTAATGCAGGCATTACTTTGGTTTAATCGTTAAGTCTGATATTTTTAACCAGTCAGTAAATGAAAAGATACAATAACTAATGTGGACGGTAACTAGTGATGACCATAATAACCATTAACACATTAACACAGGAGAGGTTAGCTGGAGTTATAGCTGTAAGAAAAGACGTGTGAATCATTTGAAATGCTTTTTCTTTTAAAGAATTCATGAATCAAAGAATCATGATTTTTACCCCAGGATGATATTTTTCTTCCAGAACTAAAAATCTCTGCTCTCACCTGTCAATGCTAACATTAGCAGGCTTACAAAGACAATTTAGTAACCGAGATAAATGAAAAGTTCCTATATGAATAATTGCTGGATCTTAAATATAAAGACAGTTATGTGAAAATGTAGAGATATTTGAAAGTGTAAAGTTTAAAAGCCCTGGTTCGGTGGATTTAATTATTTATATATTATAACATAAATAATTAATAATATTTATAAAGAAAGGCCTGAAACAATCGGATTAATTGTGATTAATCAATGATTGAAATAATCGTCAGCTAATTCAGAAATCGATTAACCGTTAGCTGGAGTATAGAGATTCTAAAACACGTCTTTATCTGACAGAGCGACCCAACATGAGCAACAATTATACCAAGGTTGTAAAAAGAAAGTATATATATATAATTTTGCATTTAAGATAAAAATGTTTTGTCTTTCAATCTGCTCTATGCAGAACTCCTCAAGTGGAAAAGTTTCACCTAATTTAATCTATAAAAGTCTTCTTTAAGAAACCTTTTGCTATCTGATCATTAATTCATTAATTCATTAAAGGTATTGTGGAGGATTTTTAAAAGACCCGCCTTCTCTACTTTAAAAATAAAAATGCGCATGCACACTCTGTTTAAAATGTGCTGATCTCACAGCTCATACAGGCTCGCTGTTTCCACATACAGCTGGGAATATATAGTGGACTTAATAGCAAACTGCACGTTCTGAGAGATGATCACTGCTTTTTGCTGCATTGGTCGTGTAAACACCAATGCACCAATTTTTGCAAGGAGAGCTCTCCCCTCAAAGCATTCTGGGATATATCTGCCTCTTCTGAGGCCTTTCTTTTCTTCTCATACACTTCGTAGAAACATTTCTCTTCCGACCCTCGACTATTTTCAAAGAACCGCTGTGAGAAAGATAAGCTTCAATGACTTAAACCGTAGCTCACCACAGATATACGCCTGAAAGTGCGCAGAAAAAAATATGCTAACGGGATGAGCGCGTAGGATGGCCTTATGGAAACATATCACCAGAATGATTGACAGTTAGGAGGACCACTGATTTAGACGATCCACCCAGAAATAAAAGATCGTCCTCTATGCTTTTATTTAAAAAAATAATAATAATAATTGAGGGATTAATTGATTTGCAAAATAATTGTTAGCTGCAACCCTTTCTGTATTATGTAACGATGTAAATGGTTAGATCTCTGACCCGTAGGTAGAGGGTCAGTTCAGATGCACCATTCATGTTTTCAATTCAGTTTCACCAACTAATACCCTATAGAAGGAAAATCAACATCTTAAATTTTTGGTATTTTTCTGTATATTAACTACAATGTTTCTGAGAACCTAAATCGTAATTATTAGGAAAGTTCTTTAAAGCAGAGTAATTCAGGTTTCTTTTTGTTTTATGACAGTCAGGAATATACCAAACTGCATATCAGAAGGGCAAAGCCAAATAATATACAAGTCTGTGCAGCAGATGTTCTTCTATTTTATGGCCCCACTTCCAAGGAGGAGTCAGATGGACTGTTTGGGGAGACTGAAGCCTTGAATTGTAAATTAGAAGGTGAGGCAAAGTCATTAAGACTCCATTTGCACTCAGAAAGATTTATTTTGTTTCGGTTCAATTATGCAAATAGCTAGTTTTACTGTAACCTTTGGGTGTTAATTGCTTCTCCACACCTCGGAGATTCCTAAACCCTTCAGAGATTACCTGAACAACATGGCAGGGAATAAAGAACTGAATAAAAACCACAATAAAAGGTTGCTAACGAGCTCTCAGTATAGCTGCTGTGTGGAGCTGTTATTTATATCAAACAAGGACGCCTACTTGTTGTGTATAAAAACAGAAGAAGGAAAAAAACTTCTCACCACAATCTTTATTGAACATGTGAGGGAAGCAATGCAAGATGCCGTGGAAACAGCGGCAGTAGGAGCAGCCTTTCTGGACCCACTCTCCATGAGGAATAAAATCACATCGTCTGCAAACAAGAGAAAAAAAGCTAAAAAAGTGAGAAACAATCTAATTTTTCTAAGGAAACTGGTTCATGAACCACAGTAGATCTTTGCACTTTAGAAGATTGTAAATCTGGTCAAACTCATATGATAACAGGTCTTAATGTTATTGTTTTTACCTAATTCTGGTGTCGTATTCACAGCTTCTCCCGGTGAAGAATGGGGGACACGCACAGAAACTGCCCAGGATGCAAGTTCCTCCATTCTTACAGCAGTTACGACTCTGCTCAGCACCTGAAACATAGAAAAACAGCTCCTGCTTAATAGATCTCAATGTGGTTTAAATAATAGAAAGTTAATCTCTGAACTTTGGTTGTTGCTTCTGCAGTCCAGCGCCTGAAAATATCATATTTTTGTAATAGTATGCTGAAGTAATAGGGTAAAAACTGTTCTTTGGGGAGGACACTTGAAGTTGGACAAATGTCTCTTTTTTGAGTTAGTCTAAGGTTTGTTGATTAAACTAAGCTAGAATGAAAAGGGTTGAACTTTGCTAACATTAATCAAAGGTGGTTTATTTGGCATAATAGAACCTGATCGCTAAATATGTCAGATTAGAGGAAGATGCTTAATTAGATAATAACAGGATAAAGTTGGCTTGACTTAAGCTAACTGTTTTTATTATATATTTTTAATATGTATCCAAGTTTAATAAAGTAAATGAGTTGTAATTTCAATCAAATAAGTTTGTTTTGTTTAAGGTTAAACATTTCTTTAAACCAAACGGCTTCTGCCTTGCAAACATTTTGATTTCAATTCAAATTAATCTGGGTAAAAAAAAATGTTTTGACAGATTTTGTCAACCATAAAAACTTTCAGAAAGTAGAAAATATTCTGGATCCTTGGATGGAAAACGATCTTCACATGCGATCATTACAATAGATGAAGAATCACAGTTATGCCCTTTTTTCTTATAGCCGTTTAGAAATAGAAATTGAACTTTATTGATCTCACAATGGAGAAATTAACTCTCTGCATTTCACCCATCCTGTTGGGGAGCAGCGGGCTGCCATTGTGCGGTGTTCGGGGAGCAGTGTGGGGTGAAGGGTCTCGCTCAGGGACCCAGAATGGAAGCTGTGGGGATCAAACCTGGTACTTGCAACCTTCTCACAAGCGCAGTGCTCTAACCACTAAGCCAGAGGTCACGGACCGCGGTCCGGATCCAGACCCAACCTGATTAAAAATATTTCTAAATTACTGCACGTTGTCCGACGACAGTGTCTAATTTCACTTGCGCCTCTTCTCCTGTTAATACGGTAAAGCCCTGGGGAGCGTCCGGCTCCAGGCTGCACGTGATCCAAATGAGCCAATGAGCTGTCAGTCTGGGTTGCTGCTGCTGCTACTTTTAGACACAGCAGGCAAACCTGTGGCAAGCCGGGCGATGGGAAAGAAGGAGAAGACCATGAGAAAAAGAGAGCAGAGAAAGTGTGGACTGCTGGAAGAACTGCGGTGAACTGGTGAAAGAAAAGTGAAATGGCGTGCTCAAAGAGGACCCTGCACATTTAGAGGATGTTTGGCTCAACCTGCTGCTGTGAAGCAGGATTCTCCACCATGAACAGAATCAACAATAAATCTGGATCCAGGCTCAAAATGAGCTCCTTGATATGTGCTTGAGAATGGCTTAGTCTCCGGTTAAACCCAGGTTTAAAGCCTTGCAGGGCAGCCTACACTGCAAAAAATAGAAATCTAAGGGAGTCATTTTTGCCTAAATTAAGTGCATTTTTTCTTGAATTGAGGAGGTAACTGAGATAATTTGCCAATGGAACAAGACAATTTACATTTAAAATGAGAAAAAAACAATTGCTTTGTCTTATTTTGAGTGTATATTATCTAATTATCTTGTTTTAGGAGTAGAAATCCTCATTCCATTGGCAAATAATCTTATTTAACTGCTAAAATTAATGGTAAATACACTCAATTTAAGTTTTTTTTTTTTTTTACTTAATTCTAGATGGTTTTTGCAGCCTAAAGCCCACTGCCAACATTAAGACAGAAAAAAGAAAGAGAAATAACAAACGCTCAGTTCAGCTGTTTGAGAAAATATGGGAATCAGGAAATTATCTTTAAACCAAAATGACTGATTGTTGTTCTCTACTTCAAAAAACACTTTAGATTTTAAAATCGAAAAATTTTCGATTTCTTTTATATTTTTCTATTTACAAATTCAATGTATAACATGGATGCATTAAACACCTCATTTTAGTTAAGTGTTAAATTCTGTTTAAAGTAACAGATTATAATTAAAAATGTCTCCAGACCTTTACTGGTTGATGATTTTCAACATTCGGACGCAGCTGATTTTTAATTGGTTACCGCTGATTGAGGCCATCATTAGCTGACAGATACTATCTATGGCTCCTGTTATTTCCCTTATTTTTGTTTACAGCTTTGGGTTTTTATTGGATGTAAATAAATAATTAAACCCCTCATAGAAACTCCCTGGGTGTTTTTTTTTATTATGTTCTGAGGTTTTCTTGTCAGTATTCTGCTTGCAGCTGCTGGAGGTCTTCTGTACCTGTGAAATAAACCAGAGTCTGCAGCTGGCGGTACATTCCAGCAGCACTCCTCCGCTTCACATCAGTAAACACAGAGAGTCTGAACAAACATCTGAAAATAGCAGAAAAACACTAAAGCTTTCCTGATGATGGCCGGAGAAAACCAGACCCTCGGAGCTTTCAGAGAATTAATGTTTGTTCCTTCTGTAAATTAAAACCCAGCTGCTTTTTCTGCAGTCTCAAAAAAATATTATGCGTAAACGGTTTGATTTAGTCTCTGCTGTAGGTAAATTTCTGAATCTGCTTCCTTCCTTGAGTGTCGGAGCAAACTTACTGCTGGTGAGGCCGATGAAGGGCAGCACGGCGCTGGCATCCCGGTGTTTACGGTCCCCGCTGTTTGGAGAGCTCATCTGGGTAAACTGAGCCAGAAACTCCTGAGAGGGATGGGAGGATTGCACAACTGGAGGAGGAGGAGAAGGTGGGGAAGCTGTAGAAGAAGAGAGGTGGCTTTTCTCAGAGTCTAAAAAAATACATGAAATATAAAAAGATAAAGTCTGAGAAAATAACCAAGGAATCAGAAGAAAATAAGAAGAACCCTTAAAGACCAGCTGATCTTCTGTGATGGTCTGAGGAAGCAGTCTGGGGGGGGGGTGAGCTTTAGGATTAACTGATGCAAACTAAAAACCAAACCCTGATGGCCACATTGTTGGGTCTCTTTTCATCTGTGAGCATCCCTCACATTCCTGCCGGCTGTTTCCTGAAAAAGCTCCCATTACTGGATCTGATTGATGTGTTAATTAGATGAAACTATTGGCTACCTGGACCCAAAACTGCCTGTTAAACCACAGCCTGTCTGTGAATAGATAAAAACCTCCTAATTCACGTTTAAACACAGAAAAATAACAGGTCTACAGGTTTTAGTTTGTTGCAGGGACCATTAATACCATGATGCATTCAATTACACCTTGAAATCCAGACAATTATTACATGCAAAACTAATGACATTAGCAGTTAATATTAGCAGGTTACTGAAGGTTTTTGTACTGTGTTCAAAACCTGTATCTGGTCCCAGATTTACATCTAAAGCTGCTGAAAAAGAACACCAATTAACATTATCTGCTTTCTTTACGAGGTGTACGTGAATGCATCATTCCGGCATCAGCTCCGATTAAACACAGTGAGAAAGGAGGCATGATGGGGGGGGGACTGACCTGCAGGAGGAGAAGCTGCAGCAGACTGGAGATACCAGAGAACACAGAGCAAAACCCTGAAAGACAGAAGGAGCAGAACGTTTATTTAAATTAAATAATTTAGGAGGAACAAATAAAAACAAAACAAAAAACATGTTTTAATGCTCATCTCCTCTCTGAACTTACCAGAACTTCTGCAGCCTCCACATTTTATGGCAGAGAAAATACTTCCAAGTGCTTCAAAGTTCCACTCCTTGCAGTTTGAAACACAATCATTAAATAAAGATAAAAATCCGTTAATATTCCTGAGATCTGCGGCTGCTCCTAAAAAAACTAAAATAAGCAAAAAGAAAAAAGTTCAGGTTTTTGTTTTCAGGATCAGTTGTGGAGAAACCAGCTCCTCTGATCATCCAACTAAACCTCTGCTCTCCAGGTGATTTCCATTCAGGAAGGGGGAGGGGCGATGGAAGCCACGCCCCTTTCCGATCGCTCCCCGTTTCCGACTGTCTGCAGCCTGGAATCAACAAGCGAGATGACGAGAAAGTTTTCCATTTTACAGAAGAAAAGAAGGTTCTACGGAAGAGGATTAGGGCCAGTGGGAAAAAAAGTTAACTTGTTTTTACATTTTATTTCAGTTTAGTATGGGGAAAAAAAGTCAGAATTCTGAGATTAAAGTCAGAATTCTGACTTTTTTATTGTCAGAATTAAGTCAGAATTCTGAGAAAAAAGTCAGAATTCTGACTTTTTTATTGTCAGAATTAAGTCAGAATTCTGAGATTAAACTCACAAATTCTGGAAAAAAAGTCAGAATTCTGACTTTAATCTCAGAATTCTGACTTTATTCTCAGAATTCTGACTTTTTTTATTGTCAGAATTAAGTCAGAATTCTGAGAAAAAAGTCAGAATTCTGACTTTAATCTCAGAATTCTGACTTTATTCTCAGAATTCTGACTTTTTTTATTGTCAGAATTAAGTCAGAATTCTGAGAAAAAAGTCAGAATTCTGACTTTTTTTATTGTCAGAATTAAGTCAGAATTCTGAGATTAAAGTCAGAATTCTGACTTTTTTTCCAGAATTTGTGAGTTTAATCTCAGAATTCTGACTTAATTCTGACAATAAAAAAGTCAGAATTCTGACTTTTTTCCCATACTAAACTGAAATAAAATAAAAAAATCAGTTAACTTTTTTTTCCCCAGTGGCCCTAATCCTCTTCCATATGGTTCAGCAGAAAACAAACGTTTCAATTTATTTATTTATTTTTACTGAAGCAGGCTCATTTAAAATAAGGTTTAAATGTGCATAACTTTTTATCTCCAAATGATCATTAATAATGGGAAAAAGAAAATAATAAAAATTGCAACAAATCCTTCCTGTTATTTAATTAATAACTTTAAATTAAAAAGTGTGCTCATAATGGACATTTGAAACAGGAAATCAACACTCTACCTTTCAGGTTATTTAAATTTCCTGTAAAAATTTGAGGGATTATTTTGTCTTTCCGTGAAGAAATAAGTTGATTGTCTTTTTAAATTACAGGAAAACTAAATTAGGTTTGAAAATAACTGTATCTCAGAGCAGATTATTTCTTTTCTTTCCATTTTTCCTTCTTTTTGTTTTTATCTGCTGTGGATTTCCACCCTGCCCCCAGCCTGGTCTTTATATTCATGTTGTTCACCCAGATGTTAATGACCCAGATGTTTCCATCAGGAAAGACTCAACAGAAAGCAGGCAGAAACTGCTTATGCATGCAAATGAAAACAGCACACAGAGTCCTGGATTAAACTTCATTTTCTCAGCTTTCCAAGCAGCCTAACCTTAATCTGACATAATCTGCTCTTTATCAACACTTCTCTGAGCTTTCCCAGCATGACTGTTTCCGGAGCATAAGGCTGAATGGGAATAATTAAGGCATAAACGGTTGATTGAGAGGCTGGGTTTGCTCCTAGCTTGATGCTAATCTCTGAAGCCAGAATATTTCAGCATTCTATACAATGGCAGCCTGCTTCTCCCTAAGGGAATGGGTTAAATGCTGAGCGGGAATTTCGTTGTGACAGTGGAATGACAATAAAGCTGGAAAAAAAAAAGGTTTTAATAATTATCAGAACCAGATCACATATTAGGCCTGAAATAATTAATCAGATTAATTGTGACTAATCAATTAAAAAAAAAAATCGATTGTTAACTGGAGTATAAAGACTTTTAAACATCAGTTCGACAGATAAACCCATTTGGATCCAGTGTTGTTTTTATCAATGATGACGATGGCAAAATTATTCAGTTTACGCTCCTTTTTTCATGAGGATAATAAGAACTGAGGAGATAAACAAGGATCTTTGATGATGAAAACATGATGACTCGTGGGTGTGAGGTTTCATTGACGTCGGTGACTGGATGAAAACGTTAGCAGGTAGTCTGTCAGACGTTAAAGATGCATCATTGTGCTGTAAACTGCTAAGCAGCATCACCTGTGCTGCTGCGTCCTGTTTCCCCATCCTGCACCTGGTTTGCAGCGCTGCACATTCTGCAGGACCACAGATGGATCATGGCAGTGAAAATAACCTGGAACGGTCCGGTACTCTGCGCTTACAAAGAAGTGATGCAAAACCTTCTTTAGTTTCTCCTAAATTAAGATAATATTCCAATGCATTCTGTTTATTGTTGGATAAAGATCCAGGTGAAAAGGTAAAATAGATCTTTGAATATTTCTCTCTCATAGTTTATTTTTATTCAAATAAGATGTAAAAGTTTCCTTGTGTTGTCATCAAAACATTTTCTCAGTTTCCTTTGAATATTTAAACATTTTATTCAACGTATTCTGGAAATTTAGGTCCGGATTCTAATGCATTTATAAGGCAATTATAGGTTTAAATCTACTTTGCCCCTGAGCAACGGGAAACAATGAATAAATTGAAGAAATAAAGCCAAACTTATCAAAGTAAGAATGTTTTTGTTCTTTGCTTTTTTGGAGTAATTCAGATATTATTGTTTAATGCATAATTCATAGTAGATCAGGAAGTGTTTGCTTTGGGATGGAAACCTTGGATGTCTAAAATCATTCCTTTATTGGACATTTTGTTAGCTTGTCTCTCTGCTATATTAACCAATAGGATGTGTTGAAGTAGATCGGCTATTCTCGCAGCTTTTATGAGACACTTTTGTATAAAGTAGGACATTAATTCATAAAAAAGTTTATTTGAATTCTATAAATCAAAGTTTTCTGCCCAGCAGCAATGATGATCTGAAGGGCAGCATTCTATACCCAGATATTGTAGCATCTAGGATAGAGCTGTCAGTCTGGGAAAGAATCTGGTTGGTATTTGAAATTATAAAGGTTAACTGTTTTAAAAAGTGCAACATAAAACTGATTTAAGTCTTTCTATTTAGTCGACTAAAACTAAACTAAAACTATAACATATGGTTATGACTAAAATGAATGACAGTCCTGAAAATGAAAATTTAGACTAAATCTAAGACGGCTTTCAAAAACAATCTGCATTTATACCTTAAACTAATTTGTTTGCTCTAATTGAATGAATTTAGTGTTAATTAATAAAAAAATATAAACAATAATTTTCGTCGTGATCACTGAGTCTGGGAGCGGCCATTTTTGCCCAAATATAGTAGCCCCTCCCTCCTGCCATCTTCCAGCAGTGACGTCACGGTGCGGTAAGCCTAGCGCCATTCTCCCCGCTTTCCAAGCTAAATCAATGGGAACTACTAGACACATCTGCAATCAACAACAATTATTGAAGATTTCCAGAGGACTTCACCATTGAAATTCACCAGAGCTATAGTGAAACTGACAATGCCCACGTGCATGGCAGCTGGATGCTGGAATACATCGGGTAAAAGTGGAAAAAAAGAGTTATTCCACCTTTCTGATTCCTGATCCTCCACGGACGGGTTGGTCGTTGGATCGCCAACTTGAAGAGGGAGGATTTGCCATCGAACTTCTGGCCAGAGAAAAAACCCGTAATATGTAGCCAACATTTGGAAGAAGAATGTTTTCAAGATGACTTGGATAATAGCGCGTTGTGACAAACACCAGATACAGCACTGGGACTTGATCAACAGCCGATACCGCACCGTGACGTCACTAACCAGTAGGTGGCAGTAGTGTTCTTTGACAAACATGGATGCCTCCAGTAAAGCACATTCACATGAAAATTACTCTGAATTAAAAACACTGATCATTTATTGAACAGGATGGAATCATTTCAGATTTAAAGAACTTTCTGAAGTTTGAATTCTAAATATTTGCTTTAATTAAGATATTTCTTCTAGGTCCTGCTGAGACATCAGTCCTTAAATCCTGAAGATGTTCTTCAGGTGATAGAAGGTCCTCTGTGTTCCTGTCTCTATGAGCCTCTGAAGGTTCAGGTCTGAGTCCAGATTTAGAGCCTGATTGCTGCTTTCTAGCTAGATTAGCTGAAGCTGGATGCTAACTTTGAAACGCTCTTCCTTTGATCCAGAATCTGACTTCAATTTAGTTTGATTCAACTGATGAACAGTTTTTCATCCATGCATTGATTTCTGGAAACATGAGAGCAACATCTATTGTTTAAAATGAACGACCATTGATTCACCCAAAAATAGTCCTTAATGAATATTTTCATATGTTCATAAGGAATGTTTGCAGAATTTTCATACAGAATCGGAAAGATCTACATAAAAGAAGCAAATAATACAAAAAGTAGGAGAGAGCGACTCAAGGCCTGTAGTGTTTTCAGACTAATGAGGAGAAAGCCAACGATGTCATGTCGGCCCAAGGCTGGACGAGCCCAGTGAGATAGATCAGAAGGCAGTCTGAGGGAACCTCAGGGTCGGAGCGGAGCAACTGTGATCCATCCCAGATCCTAACCTGTTTACAACCTGGAGGTCAGATAAGGCAGCCAGATCCAGTTCCTCACCAGTAAGCAGCAAGCAGGTGGAGGTGTCACCTTAACCTCAGATGATCCGTTTATAACGTCTTTAAATGTCAAAAAGGCAACCATCAGACAAAGAAATACGAAAAACCGAAAGATCATGGTTGACTGTATTAGAACAGCTTTATCCTGATATAACTGTAATCATTATCTCCCAGCTGAACATCCTGGTCACCATCTGCTGGTTTCCCCGCTGGCTGACAAACAGAACAGAAAGATAAATGTACCAAAAACTGGAGAAGATGGAAGATGGTTTCCTCCCACAGCCCAGAAAAACCAGCGGAACTGGAAATGAGTGCGTTTGTGGCTGATGTCCAGGGCGTATCCTTGACCCTCAGTGACCTCACCAGCCCCCCCTCCCCCTGATAAAATAAACCATTAGGATGGATGACACTGCAAAACTATATACACAACAGGATGAAGAAACAAGCAGTAGCTTTGCCCCCTGAATGTTAGCTGGCGGCTAAAATAAAGACTCCCATAAAAACTGCTGAAACATTCAGAAAAATATGCTGGCTGAGAAATTCAGCCAAATGCAGAATAAACAAACAAATCACACAATAGTTGTCATGTGGAGAGATAAAACAGTCACCTTAGTCCCTTCAAATTACAGTTTAAAGCTGAATCACAGAGCTGTAAATATTCCAAGGAATAAACCAGTAATTATCTGTTGCACCGTCTAATGAAGGAAATTATAGCTCCTACTTCCTGTTTCTAACTCCTCTAACAACGCTATCAAGAGCAGTTAGTATCCAGAAGTTTAAAAAAATTCAAACTTGAAGCCTCAATCATGTTGTTATGCAACTCCTCTCAGCAAGCTGATGCTGCAGACCAGGAAGCAGACCAGGAAGAAAACCAGGAAGCAGACCAGGAAGCAGACCAGGAAGCAGACCAGGAAGAAAACCAGGAAGCAGACCAGGAAGCAGACCAGGAAGCAGACCAGGAAGCAAACCAGAAAGCAAACCAGAAAGCAGAGCAGGAAGCAAACCAGGAAGCAGACCAGGAAGAAAACCAGGAAGCAGACCAGGAAGCAAACCAGAAAGCAAACCAGAAAGCAGAGCAGGAAGCAGACCAGGAAGCAGACCAGGAAGAAAACCAGGAAACAAACCTGGAAGCAGACCAGGAAGAAAACCAGGAAACAAACCTGGAAGCAGACCAGGAAGAAAACCAGGAAGCAGACCAGGAAGCAGACCAGGAAGCAGACCAGGAAGCAGACCAGGAAGCAAACCAGAAAGCAAACCAGAAAGCAGAGCAGGAAGCAAACCAGGAAGCAGACCAGGAAGCAAACCAGGAAGCAGACCAGGAAGCAAACCAGAAAGCAAACCAGAAAGCAGAGCAGGAAGCAGACCAGGAAGCAGACCAGGAAGAAAACCAGGAAACAAACCTGGAAGCAGACCAGGAAGAAAACCAGGAAACAAACCTGGAAGCAGACCAGGAAGCAGACCAGGAAGCAGACAAGGGCTGAATTCAAATTCATGGGCTGCGTCTTCCAAGGACGCGGTCTACCTGGACTGGATCCTTCGAAGTCCTTGAAAATCAGGAGACCGAAAGAGTTTTGGCTGTGAATTCAAACAGGTCCAGTCTTTGGTGGCTTTCTCCGTCGTACGCTCTGTCGCTTAGCAACCGTGAGAGTTGACACATAAACAGGAAAAAATGAATCCCAAACTTTTCAAAACTGTTTCTTTTTTCTTTTGTTTTTTATTTTAAAGTGAACAAAGACTACGCTCATGAAATCCAGATTTAAATAAAGGTGCCAACCAGCAGGAGCATAAACTAATAAGAGCTAATGTAATTATGTAAAAGGGGCAAAAACATATAGGTCAATATAAACAATGTATGTATAAAAATATATCTGCAAAATCTCTGATATTCAACAACCAAATAGAAATTAAAAAATAAATATATCAGATTTATAGTCCCCACTCTGCAGATATATTAGAATCTGTCCTTAAGAAGGACGCATTTGTCAGCTGCATAACGACAAACAATGATTTCTATTATCGGGAACTTTTTAAAAATCATTTTTAAATCCCGTTTTGAACACATTTTTGAGGGAGAAAAAAATATATATTTTTCCTGATAATAAGTAAAGGCATTTTGCTGCATTTCAAACATCACATGTTTATCATTTTATAATGATTTTATTTATTAAAACTTTGAGCATTTTGTCTTCCATATCTCCTAGCCACCATGTGTCATTAGGGAAGAACCAGCAGAGTTGTGACTCGCCTCCCCCTTTCTTCCTCTGCTGAGGGACAAATGGAGGTGGAAATGGTCATTTTGTCATCACAAAGCAGTCTGAGCTGATGCTAATACACAGCTGGAAGAGGAGCAGCAGGAGGGAAAACAACAGGACATCTGCATCCCAAAGCTCCCAGTCTGCAGCTGGAGGAGGACTGCTGATCAGGACAAGAAGACCACAAAGACTTGTTCTCATTTTAATCACTTTTTTAAATTAATTTATATTAAAAAAAACAATAATTTTAATAACTGCAGGAAATGAGGAAGACTTCATTAAATAACAGCAATAATTACTGAGTGACTCATAAATCGCCTGATTTATCTCCAGCCAATTCTGGACCCTAATGGACATTTCATGAACATATCTGGACTTTAAACATCTATAATCTCTGAACAGTTTGACACAATCTAATATTGAACTCACTGAGATGAAATCCAAACTATTTAAGGTATTAAATTAATTGATTTAATTTAGGCCACAGTCCATCATAAAATACTCCCAACATAAGATAAATTATAAAATTAGATTTTCAACAGATCTACAAACAATCAGAACAACATGTTTGCTGTTTGAGGTTTTGATTAAAACTTAAATAATTAGAATCCAGTTTTGGTGTTGACACCTGCTGGACATTTAAAGGTACTGCAGGCAGCTGATTGGACAGACTAAACTGGATTGATTTGATGACCCAGAAAAATGATATCATTGAAGATATTATAGGTTATATTCTATTATTTCACTTCTATGTTTAAATTGAAAATATTTGATACTTTTAGATACAGCTAATAAATAATGTAATAATATAACGTGAACATTTAGGGGAAAATGTGAATGAGGATCCTTGTGGACTAGGCTTTTAAAAGTTATTTTTTAAAACAATAAGTTTGATAACTGAGAAGAAACGGATAAAAAAAGGGGAACATTTTTATTTTTAGCAGATGCATCATGTTGACAGAGACGCTTTTAAAAACTCCTGTATCGGTCAAATGACTTTTAGTGTTTTGCTCTATGAGAGATCAATAAAGTTCTATATATTTTTTTATTTTTATTTTTTTATATAGCATGGAATTAAATTATGTTTAAGAGGGGGACATTTTTATTACCATCATTACATTCATTTGAAAAAGTCATTCTGTAAAAACAGGGGTTAATAAAGGTTTGTTATGAAGCAGAGACACCTGGAGGACGCTGATTGCACAATCCCACCACCAGAGGGCGATCTTTCACAAGGTTTTAACTCTCCACCTCTATTTAGCTATTTCTCCTCGAGCATTTAATCTTATTAGTGTTTTTTTTTTTCAAAGGACCAACTTGTTGAATAATTTACATGATCCATGAATATATTAATTGTTATTAAACATCCAGATGCAACAATTCACTACATATTCTCCCCTCCAACAGTCATTCAGATGTAAGGAGGTCAACATGATGGGAGGAGAAAGGAAACCATTTTGTTTGTAACTTTTGATTTCTTTAGGATGAAGAGAATAAGACTTTAATTAATTCATCATTTGAATTCATTTATTAACTGTTTGGATGTAAAATGTAAATTTTTGTTCAACTATAAACAGACATTTACAGACCAGTGGCAAAGCTTAGAGGTTACTTCAGGTGTTTTGTTGGAACTTCCAGGAGTTTCCTGAAAGTTAGAGGAAGTGAAATAAAAGCGAGCAGCTCTCCTCTACGTGTCGCAGAAATGACTCTGACGGTTCAGAAGGATTTAGAAAGTTCTGGAAAAGTTCTGGAAGGTTTTAGAGATTTAAAGGAGCTGGCTGCTTCCTCTGCTTCCTCACAATCATTAAAGTCTCTCAGTTCAAAATATTTGATCACGTTTCAACTTTCCTCCTCTTCCTCCTCATCCTCCTCTTCCTCCTCATCCTCGCCTCCTTTTGCTGTGTTCATTTTGTAGCTCAGAGTCCACTCCCTGGCCGGTTCTCCTTCCTCCTCCTTCAGTCCAGCTTGTCGATGACTCCGGTGCTCCGAGGAGAAGCAAATCACCTCATCTTCATCTGGTTTCTTCCATCGACAGATTCTCCAGGACTCCTTCCAGGCCCGCCACTCCTCTCCCTCATCTTCCTCCTGGTCTGCCTCCTCAGCTCCTTCGTCTCCTCCTCTGTGAGGGACAGCCAGCATCCACGAGCGCCTCCAGGATGAGAAGGAGGCGTTCAGTTTGTGGAACTGAAGATGAAGAGGAACGTTTTGGACTCGTTTCTTCTTCTTTTGCCTGCGTCGCTCTTCTGTCTCTTTATCTTCATCTCCATAAACCTCCTCCTGCTCCTCTTCCTCCTGCGCCTCCTCCTGCTCCTTTTCTTTGTTTATTTCTTCAACCTCTTCATCTTTGTGATCCACTTTCTCTTGGTCTACTTCTTCATCCTCCTCTTCTTCACAGCTTTCATCCTCCTCCTCCTGCTGCTCTTCCTCCTCCTCCTCCTCCTGCTTCTCCTCCTCCTCCTTTTCTTTGTTTATTTCTTCAACCTCTTCATCTTTGTCATCCTCTTCCTCTTGGTCTACTTCTTCATCCTCCTCTTCTTCACAGCTTTCCTCCTCCTCCTTGCCTTCCTCCTCTGAACTCCTCGTCCGGCTCTCTGTTTGCTTCTCCTTCCTGTGAATGGCTGCATCTTCATCCTCCTCCTCTTCATCATTTTTCTCCTTTGGGTCTTTGTTTTCTTCCATCTTATCTTCATCCTCTTCATCGTTGTCTTTATTCTGCTGATCTTCATCTTCCAGACTGTGAATCTGGTCATCTTCCTCTTCAACATCTTCCTCAAACATTTGTTTTGTGTTTTTGTCCTCCTCCTCTTCTTCTCTTTTCAGTTTTTGGTCTTGCACCTCTTCCTCATCTAACTCCTGGCAATCATCATCATCTTCATTTTTCTGTTTTTCCTCTGTGTAAATCTTTTCTTCCTCTTTAAACTTCTCCTCCTCCTCCTCCTCCTCCTCCTCCTCCTCCTCCTTCTCCTCCTCCTCCTCCTTCTCCTCCTCCCCTTCCAGGTTCAAGTCTTCATCATGCTGGTTTGTTTTTTCCTTCCCCGGGCCTTCATCATCTGCATCTTCATATTCCTCTTCCGTTTCCTGTCCCTCCTCATCCTCACATTTATTCTTCTTCTTTAATTCATGAATCTGCTTCTCTTCTTCTTGTTTATTTTCACTTCTTTCATCATCAAAGTCCAGAAAATCCTCCTCCTCTTCGTCGTCCGTTTCATCTTCCTGTTCTTCTTCCTCTTTGGTTGTTTTCCTTCCCTCCTCCTCGTCATTTCCTGCTCTGTTGTTTTCCAGTCCTATTTCCTCTTTTTTAGCAAGATTCCCTGACTCCTTCTCCTCATGCTCCTCTGCCATCTCCTTCTCCTCTTTCTCCTCCTCCTGCTCCTCCTCATCCTCATTCTCTTCCTCATGCTTCTCTGTAATCTCATTCTCCTCTTTCTCCTCCTCCTCCTCCTCCTCCTCTCCTCTCTCCTTCTCCTGATCAGTAATAGATTCTGGAAACTCGATTGTTTTTGTTTTGGGGTTTTCCTCCTCTTCCTCATATAATTCTTCATCCCCCTCATTGATCTTTTCCTTTCTTTCTTTTTCAGCTGAATCGTTTTTTTCTTCCTCCTCTTCATCACCACTGTCCAATTTTCCTTCATCTTCCTCTTCCTCCTCTTCAGTGACATCTTCCTCCCTCTCCTTCGTTGTGATGACAGCCTCTTCTCCACTCTCTTCTTCCTCCTCTTCCTCCTCCTCGTCATCCTCTCCTCTCTCTGTTTTGTCATTTTCTTTCTCTTTATCATCTTCATCATCTTCATCTTCCTCCTCCTCATCTACCCCTTCATCTTCCTCCTCATCACCTATTTCCTGCTCAATCTTCCTGTTAAAATCTTGGAATATTTTATTCCTGCTCTCCTCCTTCTTCTCCTCATCTCTGTTAAATTGTTCCTCCTCCTCTTCATCTTTCTCCTCCTCCATTCCTTCATCCTCTTCATCCTCTTCTCCCTCATCCTGGCTGTCATCTGCTTCATCTTCCTCATTTTCCTCAGTTTCACTCCCTGTTTCCTCTTCATCCAGCTCATCATCAGCTTCTAGTTTACTCTGTGCTTTTGGAGCCTTCCAGGCCTCCGTCCACTCGCTGAGGTCAGTGCTCTCCTCAGAGAGGCTGGCTGTGAGGAGGGAGGTTATGGTTCTCCTTCTCCTGCTCAGATTGCTGCTGTGTTTGTGATGAGAGGAGATGGAGCCGCCGCACCATCTGAGGAGGAGAGGGTCAGAGTTCAGATTGGAAACTGAGGAGATTCATAGAAAAACATCAGATTATCCATCCATCCATCCATCCATCATCTATCCATCCATCCATCATCCATCATCCATCCATCCATCCATCCATCCATCATCCATCATCCATCATCCATCCATCCATCATCCATCCATCATCCATCCATCATCCATCCATCATCCATCCATCATCCATCATCCATCCATCCATCCATCATCCATCCATCCATCCATCCATCCATCCATCCATCATCCATCCATCCATCATCCATCCATCCATCATCCATCCATCCATCCATCATCCATCCATCCATCCATCATCCATCCATCATCCATCCATCATCCATCATCCATCCATCCATCCATCCATCCATCCATCCATCCATCCATCCATCCATCCATCCATCCATCATCCATCCATCCATCCATCCATCCATCCATCATCCATCCATCCATCCATCCATCCATCCATCCATCATCCATCCATCCATCCATCCATCCATCCATCCATCATCCATCCATCCATCCATCCATCATCCATCCATCCATCCATCCATCCATCATCCATCCATCCATCCATCCATCCATCCATCCATCATCCATCCATCCATCCATCCATCATCCATCATCCATCCATCCATCCATCCATCCATCATCCATCCATCCATCCATCCATCCATCCATCCATCATCCATCCATCCATCCATCCATCATCCATCATCCATCCATCCATCCATCCATCCATCCATCCATCATCCATCCATCCATCCATCCATCCATCATCCATCCATCCATCCATCCATCCATCCATCATCATCCATCCATCCATCCATCCATCCATCATCCATCCATCCATCCATCCATCCATCATCCATCATCCATCCATCCATCCATCCATCCATCCATCCATCCATCCATCCATCCATCCATCCATCCATCCATCATCCATCCATCCATCCATCATCCATCCATCCATCCATCATCCATCCATCCATCCATCCATCCATCATCCATCCATCCATCCATCATCCATCCATCCATCATCCATCCATCCATCCATCCATCCATCCATCCATCCATCCATCCATCCATCATCCATCCATCCATCCATCCATCCATCCATCCATCCATCCATCCATCCATCATCCATCCATCCATCCATCCATCCATCATCCATCCATCCATCCATCATCCATCCATCCATCCATCCATCATCCATCCATCCATCCATCCATCCATCATCCATCCATCCATCCATCCATCCATCCATCCATCCATCCATCCATCCATCCATCCATCCATCCATCCATCCATCCATCCATCCATCCATCATCCATCCATCCATCCATCCATCCATCCATCCATCCATCCATCCATCCATCCATCCATCCATCCATCCATCCATCCATCCATCATCCATCCATCCATCCATCCATCCATCCATCCATCATCCATCCATCATCCATCCATCCATCATCCATCCATCCATCCATCCATCCATCCATCCATCCATCCATCCATCCATCATCCATCCATCCATCCATCATCCATCCATCCATCCATCCATCCATCCATCCATCCATCCATCCATCCATCCATCCATCCATCCATCCATCCATCCATCCATCATCCATCCATCCATCATCCATCCATCCATCCATCCATCCATCCATCCATCATCCATCCATCCATCCATCCATCATCCATCCATCCATCATCCATCCATCCATCATCCATCCATCCATCCATCCATCCATCCATCCATCATCCATCCATCCATCCATCCATCCATCATCCATCCATCCATCATCCATCCATCCATCATCCATCCATCCATCCATCCATCCATCCATCCATCTATCATCCATCCATCATCCATCCATCCATCATCCATCCATCCATCCATCCATCCATCCATCCATCCATCCATCCATCCATCCATCATCCATCCATCCATCCATCATCCATCCATCCATCATCCATCCATCCATCCATCCATCCATCATCCATCCATCCATCCATCCATCCATCCATCATCCATCCATCCATCATCCATCCATCCATCCATCCATCCATCCATCCATCATCCATCCATCCATCCATCATCCATCCATCCATCCATCCATCCATCCATCATCCATCCATCCATCATCCATCCATCCATCCATCCATCATCCATCCATCCATCCATCATCCATCCATCCATCCATCATCCATCCATCCATCATCCATCCATCCATCATCCATCCATCCATCCATCCATCCATCCATCCATCCATCCATCCATCCATCCATCCATCATCCATCCATCCATCCATCCATCATCCATCCATCCATCCATCCATCCATCCATCCATCCATCCATCATCCATCCATCCATCCATCATCCATCCATCCATCCATCCATCCATCATCCATCCATCCATCATCCATCCATCCATCCATCCATCATCCATCCATCCATCCATCCATCATCATCCATCCATCATCCATCCATCCATCCATCCATCCATCCATCCATCCATCCATCATCCATCCATCCATCCATCCATCCATCCATCCATCCATCCATCCATCCATCCATCCATCCATCATCCATCCATCCATCCATCCATCCATCCATCCATCCATCCATCCATCCATCCATCCATCAGACTGATGACTGTTGAAACTCTAATAAAGTTTCTGCAACACTTGCAAACATCATATCTGTACTACCAACATGGCTGATTTTTTCATAATCCCTTTAAATGAAACACAACTCAATGTTCTACTGCATATTGCATCATATTTATTTATTTGCACTGCACTGAACCTTTCCATATTAATGCCTTTTGCACCATGAATTTAAACTGCTTTTACTTTTCTCCTGCACTGTTTCTGATCACTGCTGCAATTTTAAAATGTAAATGTTTATTTTCATTGCTAAGCTGCTCATTCACTGTTTAAAAGCTGTATGCATCCTCATTTCACTTTGTGTACACTGTTTGTAAACAAGATTAGGATAAAATTTAAGTCTAAGAACGGGACAAATCACCTCCTTGGATTATCCTGGATTTGGTATTTTAATCCCAGGTTGGTTTTGAAGTAATTTGACCTCGAATGGAAAAGTTACAAACCGGATAAACGTCCTAGAAATGTCATCTTTAGATGATTTTTTAGTCTAAAATACATGATGGATTGATATGAACCAATGGAATCAGATATATGGATTCAGTAGAAAGCAGCCGATCTGAACCCACCTGATCTGCTGCTGGAATCCCCAACTGGAACTCCAGCTTTTCTTTCGTTCCTCGAACTCGTCAGGAGGAGCTGCAGCCAGCAGGCAGCATCTGCTCCATCCTGGCATCAGCCACTCATTCATGCTCACTGCCAATGAGCCTTCACTGATGGAAAAGCTCTCCTCCTCTACATCTTCTGCATCAAACTCTGCTCCAGAGAGTTTCCATGAGTCCTCCCAGCCTTCAGGCTCCTCCTGATTTTAAGAACACAGATGTTTGTTCTGGTCATCAAGTTTGTTGCTGAAACCAGGAAACAGCAGAACAATGCATTCCCCCCCCCACCTGATCCATCTGTTGCTCAATCAGGCAGAGTTTGTCCGTCTTGCTGCTTGGATCCTGCTGGTAGTTTTCCCAACCACAGTCCCAGTTCTTCTTCTGCTGCCTGAAGGGAAAGTTCATGATCTTCCAGGTTCCAGCCCAAACCGGAAGTCGATATTCTCCTATTTCCACCTTGCTGCCCATCGTCTTTTCAAACAGGATGTCCCACAGGAAGTCTGTGTTCTCTGAGTGCTCTGACTGAGATGGACTTTTCACCTTAAAACAAAGAGGAAACTTTACATTTTGGTTGATTTTGCCTCTTTAACTCAACTCCTTTGGCTAAATCCAGTTTATCTCCACAGAACTGAAAATAAAGTTAAATAAATGAAAATGAAATGAGAATCACAGACCAAACCCATCATCTAAGACAAATTAAATGTCTCACTGATGTAAACGATGACTCAGATTATAATCTGAGCCGATCAGCTTCTGCAATCTGGGATGTCTGAACTTTAACCACCTTCAGGATAAAACAAACACTCTTAATTTGTTTTTATTTCTGGGCTTTATAATCTAAATATTGGTTTAGTTTCATTAACTTTTAGATGATTGTCACAAAAACAACATTATGCATCAAATGGCCAATGCTTTGGCATCAGATCAATGAGGTAGAAGTTTGAGTCTCATCAGTAAACAGAGTTTTCCCAACATTTCAGGGATCATCAGGGTGTTTTTTTAGGTAAACATGAGACAGAGTTTAAGCTCAGCTCTGGTTTAAGCCTCTGAAATTTTAGGTTATAGCTCCTGTCGAAATCTAGATAAGTCATCTTTTCTTAAAATAAGTGCAGTTGTTCTTGGATCGAGGAGGTAAAGGAGACATTTTGCCAATGGAACAAGTAAATTTACACTTAAAATAAGAAAACACAATTGCATTGTCTTATTTCAAGTGGCAAACTATCTCATTTACCTACTCAAATTAAGGGTAAATACACTATGTATTTACACTATATGTATTACTTATTTCTAGAATGTTTTTCCAGTGGCCTGACATACGGAAAATCTGGCAAAAAAGCTGGCATTCATTGGATAAGTTATGAGCACACTGAGGGATACCGTCGCACTGCAAAAAAATTGAAATCTAAATAAGTAATTTGTTCCTAAACTAAGTGCATTTGCTCTTGAATTGAGGAGGTAAGTGAGACACTTTGCCAATGAACCAAGACAATTTACATTTAAAATAAGAAAAAGCAACTGTATTGTCTTATTACAAGTGCATGTTATCTAATTATCTTATTTTAAGAGTAAAAATACTCATTCCATTGGCAAATCATCCCATTTACCTACTAAAATTAAGGTAAAATACACTTGATTGAAGGAATTTTTACTTATTTCTAGATTGTTTTTCCGGGTGCGTTCAGTGTCAGTTTCTCATAAATCGTGGCGCTAGCTTATCCAGAACCTCTGACTAACTTCTCCTCCAGACTTCATCCCCATCATAGGGTATGTCAGAAGGTGAGTGATGGATCCTCCCTGCGTTCACGCCCACCACCAACACACTTCCTAGCAGACATGATGCTGAATCTGCTGCTGCCAAAAACTTCTTTCTTCCTTTTTATTTATTCTTTTTCCTTTTTCTGTGTTTTTTTGGGTGCACGGTATCATCGCCGCTCTGGAGGGGAGCAGCTTTAATTGATGCTGCAAAATGAAAAATGGCGAGAAAACGACTTTCTAATGAGAAAATTATCATCTCATTATCAAGAGAAAACAGCTTATTTTATCTTTAGATAATGAGAAAATTAACTTGTTTTCTCAGAAAAACACAGTGAAAAAGGGACACGGCCGCTCTGGGCTTCCATACAGAAGGGCCTTACAGGATATAAATATTTATCTACATGTGTACAGAGACTATGTATGTATGGAATAGAACTGGTACACTGGAAAAGATCAAAATCTAGATAAGTAATTTTTTCTTGAAATAATTGACCTCTTGGATTGAGGAGGTAAAAGAAACATTTTGCAAATGGAACAAGACAATTTACATTTTAAAATAAGAAAACACAATTGCATCGTCTTATTTCAAGTGCATATTATGTAATTATCCTATTTTAAGAATAAGAATACTCATTCCATTGGCAAACTACCTCATTTACCTGCTCAAATTAAGGGTAATTAAACTTAGTTTAAGGAAGTTTGACTTTATATAGTGTTTATATAAGCACAGAGTAAATGGACACTGCAAAAACGATCTAGAAATACGTTAAAATTTCTTAAATTAAGTTTAATTACCCTTAATTTGAGCAGATAAATAAGATGATTTGCCAGTGTAATTAGTCTTTTGTACCCTTGAAATAAGATAATTAGATAATATGAAAGTGATATAAGACAATTGTTTTTTCTTATTTTAAATGTAAATTGTCTTGTTCCATTGGCAAAGTGTCTCACTAACCTCCTCAATTCAGGAAGAAATGCACTTCTTAAAGAAAAAGTGACTTATTTGGATTTAAATTTTTTGCAGTGTAAGAGGCTATAAAATAAATAAATATAGAATTTCTAAACAGATTATACAGAAAGGTTAAGATATGGATTATATATATATTAGCAGGGTTATAATACAGGATAAATAATGACAGATAAAAGCAGATTATATACATCTATAGATCAGAAGTACGGGTCACACTGCAAAAATCATCTAAAATTAGGTAAAATTTTTTTCTTAAATTGAGTGTATTTACCCTTAATTTTAGCAGATAAATAAGATGATTTGCCAATGGAATGAGTATTTTTACTCCTAAAGCAAAATAATTACATAACGCGTATTTGAAATAGGAAAAATGATGTTTTTTGTCTTATTTTAGATGTAAATTGTCTTTTTCCATTGGCAAAGTATCTCAATTAGCTCCTCATTTCAAGAAGAAATGCACCTAATTTAAACAAAAATGACTCATTTAGATTTCCATTTTTTGCAGTGCAGTAGTTGGATCCGTAGGTCGTTGTTGGACTTTCCTCACGGCTGCTCGTGAACTTTTACAGGGCGATGATCGAGAGCATCCTCTGCCTCAACATGACTGTGTGGTATGGTAGCTGCACAGCACTGGAGAGGAAACAACTGACACGGGTGGTGAGAACAGCACAAGGCATTGTGGGATGTCCCCTCCCAGACCTGGACTCCATTTACACAGACCGGGTCAAGAAGAGAGCTGGATCCATAGCGATGGATTCCAGCCACCCGGGTCACAGACTGTTTGTGCCGCTGCCATCAGGCAAGCGGTACAGGAATATACGGACTACAACAAATAGACTGAGAAACAGTTTTTTCCCCACAGCCGTCAGAGCCATTACTCCTTGCCGTCTCCCCCTCCCACACATATCATAACCTCGCAGACACACATACATATCCCCCCCCCCCCCTCCCCACACACACACACAGCCATACTGTTCTGCACCTTGCACTGTCACATTTTCTGTGTTTTGCCATGATTGGACCTGCTGCTGCTTCTTTGGCATGGCTGAGTGCCTTTAGTTGATTTAGTTGTGTATGTTGTTATTATTATTGTTGTGTGTTTGCTTGTCTGTACTGTATATATTTGACCTTTTGCACGGGAGCTGCAATGGAAATTTCGTTGAATTTTGTTCAGTGACAATAAATGCTATCTCTCTATCTCTCTCTTGTTATAAAAATGATCAAAGTCATAAACATAGAAATGTTGCCTTTGTTGTGCCAGAAGTCCCTGATGATAACTTTATCTGGACCATGGATCCAACCATGGATTAAATCCTGATTCTCAGCTCAGAACAGCCTCACCTGCTTCCAGGAATGACTCCATTTATAACTCAGACTCATCCATTCCGCTTCCGATCCAAACGCCTTGGATTTGTATTTCTTGTTTTTGGGAAACTCGATGGCCATCAGCAATGCCCTCCTTTCTTTAGCCTCTTTGGCCTTCAGGTAAAGGTACTTTGGAGGCTTCCGGCTCTTCCAGGACTCCCTCCAGCACAACCGAAAAATGTCTACTTCCACCTTACGCTTCTGCATGTGAGGTTTGGGGGAGGAGGACCTCCTGGTGGGAGGTGGAGGAGGAGGAGGCTCAGCTTTGGGTTTTGGAGGTGGAGGAACGATTTTAAATTTGATTTTAGGCTTTTTTTCTGCTTCATCTGTTTGTGTCGTAACCCTCCTGAAGTCAGAAATCTGGTCCTTGGCCTGGTCTCCGTTAGACCAGTGATACGTCCACTTAGAGAACAGACTGTGGATCAAGATAAAAAAAAATGAAGACAATATATCGAATCAAACCTGCATCAGGAAAAAAACGTCATAGAAATAAGAAAAAAAATAAAGTGAGGAACAAATTTTGAATCCTGTGGGATTTTGTTATGGATTTTCCTTTATCGTTTACGTATTTATTTAATTTTTCCGAAATCACTGCTCTCTCAGGACAACGAGGCATTCGACCCCAAACTTTCTGAAGGTCTTGGAAAGTTTTATCTATAAATGTTCTGCTTAAATTCAACTCACTTTATTAATGTAGCACATTGTAGAAGATTGAAGTTACCAAACTGCTCCTTTGCAAACTTGCTCTCTTTAAAATCTGTTGCAGACCCAAATGTTGCCGTTTTACCTTCATTCACATACACTAATGAGTTGCTTGATTATTGTTTTGTTTCTGTTTTTGCCAAAAGGTTAATTTTAAGATGTTTTTTTCATGCCTCTCACTCAGATCCATTACTGCATTTTGTTAAGCTTTGAAAGAAATGCTAAATGTCCCTCTTTTCCACAAACAGATTCGATCGGAGCACTCCCAGATTAATGATGTGTAGAGATAAACCTGAGTGCTACACATGATCAGCCTGGATTACCAGGTTACACTGACCATGAGGCGATGCCCCCCAGCAGTCAGATTAATGCGCCTACTGAAACAGAAAGGTGTCAGATTCTTTTTCAGCCATTAGGCTTAAAGCTAAACTGAGCTAATCTTCATCAGTGCAGACAGAGCGTCTGCTGCATGGCACGGCGAGAAATTGATTAATATCTCTTGGTCCTTTAAGAGATTTTGGTAGCAGTTACATTGTTTGTGTAGGAGTGCTTATATGTTAACTATACTGCAGCACCTAAACCTGAGCAGCTCAGATCAGTTTATTTACATGTTTTATGTTCAGAATCAATCCTGCTACTGTAGTTCAATCTCTAACGTTCTGCTCTCTCTGCTTTTTCTCATAGTAGCTTCATCTGGTCTGTTCCTGTTTGGCTGTGACTCCATCCTGGAGAGAAATATCAGCTGTGCTGCTGCCATCAACACCTTTGTTTCTAGATGTTGGAGCTTAGCCTGTTTTCCAGTGTAGTCCTGTTTCTCTGACTGTGACTAACTGGATGTGCTCTCTTCATCCTCTGACATGGGAGCTGGCTCGGAGCTCGTCTGCCTGGCTGTGTGTTTCCTGGACGGGGCCGCCTGTGGAGCTGGTTGACAGTTGCCTTTTGTATCTATGCTTCTTTTTCTATGTCTGCTTCTGTCTCCTTGAACCCCAGTGGGCCTCAGCAGATGGCCGCTCACACTGAGCCTGGTTCTGCTGGAGGTTTCTTCCTGTTAAAAGGGAGTTTTTCCTCTCCACTGTCGCTACAAGCATGCTTAGTGTGAGGGATTGCTGAAGAGTCAATGAGTCGATGCAATCAGCTGGTTTTCATTAGATAGAAAACTTTTAACCGCTCTGACTGTATGATCTGGTTGAATTGTCTCTCAAGTGTCTTGTGATGACGTGTTGTGAATTAGATAGAAATAAACTTAATTTAATCTTTTACTCTCTAAGCAGGATTTATCTGGGCTAAACTTTAGACTTTACTGTGAAACTGTAATATGATTCTCACACTTTAAGGGAGCTTCTCCGCCTAAATTCAGCCTCCTGTTTGCACTGGTCCTCCATGTTCTGGGCTCTCTTCTCCCACTGGTCTCTCAGCGATCCGTTGCTGAAGGATCGCTTCTCTTCCTTTTTGGACAACATTCTGCCAGCCACAAACAGACAGATAAAACAACAGGAATGTTAGCAGCAGCTGTGACTATTGAGGATTTCTACCAGTAATCTGAACAGTCTTTATGAAGGCAAACATGACATGCAGAGATTCACAACATTTCTTGAGGATATAAAACGCTGTTAGATGAGAGAGAAGTGAGATGAGCGTTTGATGGTCAACAGTGGCGTAGTGTGTGCTGCTGTAGAAGTCCTGCCACAGACCAGATATCAAAATGCTCACATTTCTGTTGCTTTCTTGTGAAAACACTCATATTAACTTTAGAATTTTAGACAAGAAATAAATTTGGCTTTGTACAGAATGGAGGGCCTGGGTGGGATTAGATCCCACAGATTACCAGGTGGAATCCATGGACACTCAGTACAACAAAGGCATATGTTTTAGGCCCTACGTTGCATAACTTGCCGACTTTAATGTCAGAAGTGGGATCCATGTAACCTGACTCCGCCAAATGGATTTGCTCCGCATATCCATCTGGAAACCTTCCGTTGAAGTAATTTTGGGAAGGGGTGAAAATACTGGTTAGCTGATTGGCCTATGTTGGTGATAGACGGGCCAAATAAACCAATCAGATCAACGAAGCATATGACGTACTAACAGAGCGACGACGAAGAGGAGCCAATTGATAGATCAAACTCTTGCCAAAACCAGTCGGAGAAGAGCAAAAACATCTTTTCCTCTGAGAAAAGCCTCCAGAGCAGTGCTTTGCTCTTCTTTCAGTGAAGAAATACTCTGTAATTCCCATAAAACTTGCTCGATAGCCACGCTAACGCTAGTTTCATCGGCTGAAGCCGCCATGTTCTTTAGACTGAACTGTGGCGCTTCTCGTTGCGTCACACCTCAACCCGCCTCAAAGCCAACGCTGATTGGACGTTCGTTTGGTGAACGGCTCCGAATTTTCTTTAACAGAGAGTCTCCAGACTGATCTGCAAGTGAAACCTTGAAAGCTCGCGAGATCAGGATGGTCTCACGAGGATAGGATCCATGTGCAATACTGGTAAACAGCCTAAGAATTTGTAAATGGTTGTGGTAACCAGTGTGGAGAAAGAGGACATGCTTGTGGCAGTGAAGGGTCTGTCACTGTCTGTGGGATCATTGCCACATATAGGACTGATATAAGCAAATAGCAATTACTTAAATGAAACAAGATCCTTCAGGGAACCTGATACAGTCTTCAATGTCTGACCATTAAGTTTTTGAAATTTCAGTGTCTTAATAATCTTCAATCCGTCAACATCAGTTACCATAGCGATACAGACGACACCCAGCTGTTCATGTCCATGTAACCAGGTGACTATGAACCTGTTCCAGCTCTGGATAAATGCAATCAACTCATGGATGAACTACAGAAACTAAGTTCAGATGCATTTATGTTTCTGTGGGAACTGTTGGTTTAAGGAACCGGCTCTAGAAAAGTAACAACAATCTGTTTGCTTAGAGGCTGATGTCCAGAAAAAGACTCAGCAAGGTTGATGTTTGCTTCCTCATATCAGACTCTGAATAGGAAGGAGGAACATAAGAGATGCCCAGCCAGCATGAAGGGACTCCCCAGTCCTCAACTGTTAGTGGAAGGGTACCAAATCGAGTACGGATCCAGTTCTGCCAGCAAAGGTTTGGGTCTGACTCATCTGACGGTGATGAAAAACATCAAACAGAGCTTTATAATTAAACTCTGGTTTTACCAGTTGACTTTATGTAAGATGAAGGCTGTGAATGTGCAAAAGTTTTAGTTTACCTCGTAAATGTTAAAGAGCAAAAACATTAGAGCTAAACTTAAAATAACGTCTGTCTGGAGGATTTACTTTGGATTTCAGCTTGATCCCTCTTAATAAATGAGGCGGCCATAAAATTAGAGGATGACATTTCTCACTAAGCCCACAGCCGGGTTTAAAGCCAGTTAGAACTGTCCTTTAGCCCAAACTTATAGAGTTTCCTTAACAATAATTAGATTATTAATTTTAAAAGCTTTTAATGATGCTGCTTTCCTTAGAATCTGAAGGATTCAGTCATATTTGTAATATTCAGACTGATTGCAGTGATAGAAACACTTAAGTCAACTGCAACTGTTACAAGCAACTGTTAGTGTAAAGGGGAAAATATCATCAATAAAGGAAACAAAAATCTGGAGGAAGACTCTGAGCTGGGAGGTCAGCGTGTTCTTCAGAAATCCAACATGGCTGCCAAATAAATTTAAACAAAGTGAAAAAAAGATCAACTTATTCATTCAGTGAAAGTGAAAATCTGTAAAGTTCAGAAAGTACCTCCTGTCATTGATGATCTGTGATCTGTCGCCTTTTTGGCCTCTTCCTGTTTTGTTTGGTTTTATTCTTATTGTTGTTTTTTGTTCTTTTCATTTTAGATTTTATTTCTCTTAGATTTCTCCATCAGTTTAATAGTTTCTGTGTTTCTGCATTCATGTTAATTATTCTCCTCCCTCAGTCTCCCTGTTCTTCTTCTACTTCAGCTGCTTTTCATTACCTTCAAATAAACTCACCAGCATTCAGGGTCATTCTCTCTTTTGCCCTTTAGTGTTTATTCTAATCAGAGATATAAAAAACACCAGATCAGTTTTGGCTAATTCTTACATAATCCCCCAGCAGCTAGAATGACGCAGTCATCCCTAGGTTCCATTAGGCAATACTAAGGAGTTGCCTAGGGCCCCAAGTTCCTGGGGGCCCCAAAAAACTCTGTTTCCATGTATGTTTAGTACAACTATTCCTTTTTTGTGCACATTAATTATGTTTTTGATAAAGATCCTTTCTCTAAAATGCCATCAGAACGATGATAATATTAAGTGTGTCTCATTCACACTTGTCGATGTCAATGTCAAATTTATTTATATATATAAATAAGTTTTAAGAAGCGATTTAAAATGATCCAGGCTGTGGGCGGATTTAATTTAATGAGGTAATTGGTTCCACAGAATTGGAGCAACAACAGAGAAGGCCCCATCTCCTTTCCTCTTAAGTCGAGTCCGAGGAACTGTCAGTAACAGCTGATTATTAGAGCGTAGACTTCTTCACACAGACTGGAATTTTAAAAGACTCTAAGATAAGAAGAAGCTAATCTATTTAAGACTTTATAAGTTAATAAGAGACTCTTAAAATCAATTTGGTAAAAGACAGGCAACCAATGTAAAGAGGCCAGTATAGGCCTTATATGGTCAGCTTCCTGGTTCCAGTAAGAAGCCGAGTCGCTGCATCTGTGATCTATCCATGCCTCTATATCATGAATTGCAGTAATCCAACCGGGATGTAATGAAACCATGGATAAGTCCTCCTCTTAATTCAGAGGGCCCCCTGCCTGTCTTTGCCTAGGGCCCTAAATTTCCCAAATCCGCCCCTGTCCCCTCTATATGAAGCAATTTGACGTGAAAGTCATGAGTCAGACAGGAAGTAACAAAGTAACACATCCACTTTGAGGAAAATATAAACTATTCTGGCGAAGTTTTTATGTAAATATTCACGGTTTTTCAAAATCTAGAAGTGTTCCTTTATGCTTCTTTGGTTTCCAATTTAGTTTTTTTTATTTTTCATGTAGCAAACCTTTCCAGTCTACAGTCATGTATGTCACAAATTAGTATGCAGATATGCAGATTCTGCAACAGCTTCTTCGCCATCAGACTGCTGCACGGTTGAAATAACTCATATTCAATCAATCATATCGCCGACTCTGCATCACTCTGATAACACCAAACCAGAAATATTGCATATTTGCACCATAGATATCTAATATTCTGAACATCTATATCAATGCGTTTTTTTTTTTGCACCATGTTTTTTTTTTCTCCCACACTGATTACAGTTGATCACTGCTGCACTTTAAGAAATGAAAATGTTCCGAAAGCTGTACAATACAAAATGTTGTTTTGTATTAACTCTCTATAGAAAAAAATGACAGTAAAAGTTATCTCTGCTGCACTTTAAAAAAGGAAAATGTCTTGAGAGCTGTACTGAACGAAATGCCTCCTCTATCTCTTCTTTCTTTCATCTTTTCTCTCTTTTTTCTTTTTTCCTTTTTCTTCTTCTGTGTTTCTGCTCTATTTACATTGCAGTGTCCATATAAACTGTAAAACTCCCTGCATAATTATAATAAAGCAATTAATATGCATGAAACAAGTTTCTACACCTGAAAGTAAAATCTTTTCAGCTCTTTTTGGCATCAAGACAATGATTCTTATTGCCACATTGCCAGATTGCCAAATAGAAAAAAAAATAATAAGTCTTCATTAATGTAGCGTATTATAGAAGATTGAAGGTGATTTGATTGATTTATCTCAACATAAAAGTTTATGTTGAGATAAATTGTTTATTGTGGAGTTTCTATTAAAAAAAGCTCAATGTAGGAACATTGTGTTAATAATAATTGCTATTAATACTTTGTGAGGAGTCCAGCTTCCTTTGTTGTTCTGCTCATTTGTGTCACATCATATTTATTCCCCAGTGATGCAGAAACTAGGAATTAGTCATTCAAAAGTTATAGAGAGAAATAAGAGTTTTTAAAGGAAAAGCTTCAATCTGAAGCCATTTATTTACAGTTATATCTAAATTAGTTGAATATTTTCAAAAGATTTTCCTTTGATTGTTGGAAATCATTATGTGCCTTTAAATAACCTTAATTTACAGTTTTAGTTCAGTGTTAGAAAGCCCTGCTGATTGATTTCCTTTGAAAAATTGACAGGAAAACATCATAAATCTGAACAGAGGCATCGGTTTAATCTCTGAAGTAAACCGTCTGTATAAACTAGCTTCTCAGGTTAGAACACCATGACGGAGCAACAGAGCCTTTAGCATGAAGACGCCCCGCCTCTTTTTCACCTACATGCAAAAAGCAGCATCAAATAAAACCAGAATAAACAGTCATTTATAAGGAAATGGGTGAAAATCACTCATTCTGACTCACTTGATTCTGTTCTCTCCTTTAAGTCCGTCTGGTTTTTACATTCCCCTTTAAATATAGTGGTGCATTAGTG